GGTCCATACACTTTTCAGCAGCCTCYACCAGCAGTACCCAGAGCATTCTGCAAAGGGGTAATGTCTTTACTGCTTCCCAAAGCAGGCAGCTAACAGCCTTCCCAAAGCTGGCAATCAAACCCAGTTCCTGCACRTTCCCACTCTTGCTGCACTTGGGACACAGTGACATTCCCTTTGAACAACTSTGCGAGCTGCCAAGCATCAACATCAAGTTGGGCTTCTTGCTCTTTGTAGCCAACTTCCACTTCCAAGCACCTTGCATAAGGATCACCATTCTCCCACAGCTAAGAACAACAACAATATAATACAGGGGGCAGATAAGACTTGCTGAGATGCAGGGAGCAACTCCGAGTTGGGAGAGGCATTTTTCAGAGCAAAGTCACCCCCTCAGAGCAGATTTCCCTGCTTCTGCTGGTTTAAATCACCTAATTCAATATTCTGTGTTGTCTTATGTTGCATACAGTTATGTAAATTTATAAATCATATACTAATTAGCACACAATTTAATAAATGTAGTTACAGTAAAAAGGAAGATTTCTAACTAAGTAGGCTGTGCTTTCTCCCCTTCAACTGGCACAAATTCAAACACCACTTGGAGGTCACATTTCAGAAAAGCTCTGCTGTAGCTTTTACGGTTTGACCGTTGGCTCATGTGTACTTTTGAGGGATATCTTTCMGATATTTAAGCTCTCTCTCTCTCAAGSATAGCTAAGCCCCTTCCTCTTTCTTTAACACCAAGCCTCCAGAGCTCATTGTATCACTGCAATTTTTTTTTGTTTTGCTTTTATTCAGACTTGCTGTATCTACTGTTGGATTCTTCTGCAATCAAAGTCCATGGGACCACTCCAAGTAAATCTAGTCCATATGTAGGTTATTATCTGGACTTGGCCCTGTCACCCTCATGCTGGTCTGGCCTCCCTATCTACCTCCTGGAGAGGACAGGAGCTGACATTGAGTTATTTCCTTCTTGCCCTGATTTACCAGGTCTCCTTTGGGCAGTAGCTCCCCAAGTTCAGCAAACATTATTTAGAAAAGGCATGGGAAGACATATGCATCATTTGGGAATCTCTGTTTTGAGGGATTGCTCCCCCTAGGATATAAGCACAAAATTCTCATCTGCTTATTTTATTTTAACAACAGCTCTACCTTTAGAGTTGACCCAGATGCATCCAACCCATGGCTTCTGTCATCCTTTGCTGCAGTGCTCTGACTTGCACCCTTGTCCTGTCTTGCTTACACCTCTGTCCTCTCTTCCTTCCTCTTCAATTCCACCTTTCTGACCCAATGCATGGTGCTGGCTCGCCCCATGCTCCTCTCCAGGAAAATCCTTTTTTTATTAAGACCTCCTCTTCCTGCATATCATGCTCCAAAAGAGGTCTTGATCTTTTGCACAGAAAGCCCCCATCCTGCAAAGAAAGAGAAGGTTTAAAACTGACTCATCTGTACTAGTAAACTGAAGATTGAGAGTATGTAAATATATATGTATATATATGGAGAAATAGAGATTATATTAAGGGAATACAGCATCTATCCTATGAGGAAAGACTAAGCAAGCTGGGCCTGTTTAGCCTGGAGAAGAGAAGATTGAGAGATCTGATCCATATGTGTAAGTACCTGCGGGGAGAAGGTAGGGAGGAAGGGGCCAAGCTCTTCCCAGTGGTGGCCAGTGACAGGACAAGGGGTAATGGGCATAAGCTGAAACACAGGAAATTCCATCTCCATGTGAGGAAGAACTTCTTCACTGTGAGGGTGACAGAGCCCTGGCACAGGCTGCCCAGGGAGGTTGTGGAGGCTCCTTCTCTGGAGGTCTTCAAAACGCACCTGGATACTGCCCTGTGGCCCGTGCTCTGGGTGTCCCTGCTGRAGCAGGGAGGTTGTACTGGATGATCTCTACASGTCCCTTCCAACCCCAACCATTGTGTAATTCTGTGATTCTGTGATAAGACGATGTGGAAATTGGAATATATTACCAAAGATAATTAATATATCTGAGCTGGATAAAAAAAAAATACAGGAAAAATTCAAATAAATGAAGGTCCGGAAGATAAAATGAAACTCCCAGATAATTTATTACATTAAAACCTCACACACATATTAATATATGCTTAGGTTTAAGATGGGATTCAACAGTGGGAGTGGAGAGGCTAAAAGTAGAAAGAGTGTGACTGTTGCAGGCCCACTGTGTGCAAGGTGCACAAAACGACGACGACACAARCGCGGCGAGCGCGTGGACACGAGCCACCCTGGAGAACACAAAGTGAAGACGGGGCACCAGCCACAGCAGAAGTCACGTAACTCCACACAGCCTCATGGAAAGCACAGCCTGATGTGCAGCTGAAGTGTCTTAGCAGGGAACGCTCTGGACAAACAATCTACAGCTGGACTAACTCCCCAGCGGCAGCTTCCTAATATAGGAGCTTAAACTTAAAAGGACACTGTCAAGTGATTGCTTTTGCTAGTTTAATTTTTGCATTTCCTCCACTGCTTTAGCAGATGGAAAACAATTCCCCTCCCAGTTCCAACTACTGATTTTGTCCTTTCCTATTTGACAATCATTGATTTTTTTTTCTAAGGCTATAAATGTTTTAATAACTTCAACTTTGTAGTGCCTCATGGCAAAATATCTTTGCTTGCACTGACTGCTAAACACTATTCCTAATGTACTGCTGATAACTAGAGCAAGAGCCTGCATTATAAAAAATGATTTTTCAGAGTCTGCCAAATTAACAGCTCTTTTTTTTCTTGGTAGATAGCTTAGAGATAGTTAAAACATAAAGAGCTTCACCCACCAGATATTTCAGCCATCTGAATTCTAGAATTCTTGGCTAGAACATAAAGGTTTGTCTCCCATGTAGCTCTGACTGATGGACAGCACCTGGAGCAGAGAGCCCACAATCTTGACAATGTCCTTTTAAAAAAGGTTACTAATAAAATACAGACTCAAGTCAAAAATCACCACCAGAAACAGAATAGTTAATGGACAAAATGAACCAGAAAGAACTGTAAAATAGTTAAAACATTGGCACCCACAAAGAACAAAATGCTCCCATGCAGTGTTCTGGAATGTGTACACAAAGGCACCTTTTTAAGAAATATACATTTTTTTTTGCTGTTTCAAAAGGTTAGTACTTATAGAAAAGGCGATTAAAGTTGCAGTCAAACTGGAAAAGAGAAGCAAAGTGACTGGACTGAAACTGAAGAACATTTTCTTTATAAACCTTAAAAAAAAAAGAATATAAAAACCTCTGAAACCTACGTGCTGGTCATGTCTTCACAGCTTTCCTGCTTTTTCTTTTGAGTTTTTCTCTTCCTTCCTTCTCCCTTTTCCTGTTCTCTCAAAGGAGAGGAATATATTCACCTTGATTCCCAAGACTCAGTCAGCAGAAATGCACTGAGTGAGAAAATCTTTTTCCCAACTACTGTACTTGGACAGGGCACCTACTGTCTTTGGAATTTCAACCAGAAATTTGTGTCCTGGGACGCTCTGGGAGCAGAGCGAGAGGGACCAGATGGGCATGTTAGCAAACACTATAATTTTACAGACAGCCAGAAAAAAMCAAGCAAGGCCTTTCCTCAGCAATCATATTCTGGTCCAGTAACAAGGGTTCCCCAACAAACTCCTGCAAGGTTTTAAAATTCAGCTGGGATATAAGACAAGGACATCATTTAATTTGTGATTAAGACCAGATTCGCATGAAACCGCTCCGAATAACTTAAGTTTCAGCTCCCCCTTCTTTCTCCCTTTATTTCATTGCTATAAAAGCACCGTGCTGCTAGGGGCACACGTTTGTACAAGCTGCATGATCCCACTGTGGGCTCCACTGCTGAGTCTTGCGAGCTCCTTGCAAGTGCTTCACGAGAGCTACTGCAGGAGAGCAAGCGAGTGGGAGGCAGCAGCACTACCCCAAGCACCAGAACAGAGACTCACTGCCATTAAGATGAGCAGGGCTGTCTAAAGAGACTGTCACAAAAGCTGTACTGGCCCACGCAGTGGTGTTTGGGAGCAAATGGCCTAGAACTTGCCCATACTGGCACAATTCTGCCTTTCCCTCACTGCAATTTCACCGTGCAAAATGAGTATTTTAGCCTCATATTTCTAGGAACACATGCCGGTGGCTACTGTTACAATAAAATATGAACACTGCATTGTGGAGAAAATGACCATTAATCCTGTAATCTGCAGTCATTTTTACAAATTCTGCACATTTCTTTAAATAACCAAGTGCATGCAGTAGATGGAAGTGCATTTAAATAAACTGAAATAGATACAGCATGAATAATTAAAGCCGGCAGGGAAATGTGCATTGCGAGACGCTAGTGGAAATAATTACTGATTTGTCTTATTTACAATAGAGCCTGGATACAGGATCAAAATAGTGCAAGTTAGGGAAAATGTCTGAAGACTGCTCTTATCCTACAACTACTATATATTTCGTCTTGAAAAGTACATAAACCAAGTTTTGGACCACTACAATGTCTGACTGTGTTTCGCTATTTCAGGGTTAGGTTTCCCAGCATATAAACTATGTCAAATAGCACTAATTTAAGGAAGAATGTATTTTGAATGGATATCTAGTGCATCAACCTGCAATGACATCTATTAATGTCATTAGATACTGTGCAGTTGAGCTTAGGATACATCCCCTAAAATCCCAGCACAGTAAATATCAGAATGCTGAAGGCAAAAGTGGATCATAGAATCACTGGGAAAAGTAATAAAGTGCTTGTACCTTTATAATAAGCCAGGTTTTAAACAGGCTGTAGTTTAATTAGAAACTAATCTACTTGGAATGTGGTGGTTCTTGAGTGTTAGGCAGTTCTTGCAAACTATTTTAGAGCTTAAAAAAAAAAAGAAATCGATAATGAAATAAACTTTCAATATGAGGCTGGCTAAACTGTGACTTCAATCTATTAGAAAACATTGTGCATTAAAAAAATCCTATTTTAGAATGATTACTTGGCATGTGAAAGGATTACAAAAAAAAAAAAAAAAAGAGAGAAAAGGTAACACTTCCTGACTGGTTTCTCAAAAATGTTCCTGGGACATGATTGCTAAATACAAACTGAAACAGGATGCTATTAGCTATGCTTTAGAGGAGAGAAGACAATCATCACTCAAATAATTTAAAAATGATACTGTGACACAAACAAATCAGAAATAAAAAAAAGTTCTAAAAATTCTACAGAGGGGCTGTAGACCAGTAGGCCTTGTCAAATGAAGAAAATCTCTTCGAGGAGCCGGCTCTCCTCCAACTCCTCTGCTCTGCTCCCGGATCTCCGAGGGGCCGGGTGCCAAGCCGACCCGTGGCTCACGGGACGAGGTGTTTGCATTTTGCTCCTGCTGGGTGATTCTCTGTAGAGGGGTCCCGGGGCAGATATGGGACTCATGGCCTCAACCAGGTCAAGAAGAGAGGCGTCGTACCTGGAGAAACATATCAAGAAAACGCAGTTCCATTAAGCATCTTGGCATCACACACAAATTGAATCCAATCTCCCCACCCTCCTAATTCAGACTACACCTATATTTGCCCAATGAGAGCCCCAGGAACAGGCAGGATTTTGCTATAYGCGTTCCTATGAGGAATACCAACACAGAGTTGTGAAAAGAGTTGAGCAAAGCACGGGTACACAGTTTATTTTAAGCTGTTTCATCAGATTTTCCATTTGAGGTGTATAATGTCTTAGTCACACTCTGGAGATTGAGGACAGAGCTCGGAGATACGACAGCCGAACACACAGAGCAGGTACAAGACAGACCCACAGAGGTACCAGTAAAGTGACTTACACACAGGCTGCACTTTTTTGAAGAGACTCTACACTTGATTTAGATTYCCAGGGATTTGAAAACAGCAGGAGCCTTTATTATTATTGCCACAAACTACACGTGCTTCCTGTAAATCTCTATGCACTATATGGAATCTGTCTGGTGCRAGCACTCAAGGAATACAATCTAAGCAAGGCAATACAAAATCAGCGCTCCAGGCACCAAGAGAGAAGGCAAAGATGCTAAACATTACTCAAACTGTCCTTTAAGTGTGAGTACAGATGTGCAGGAAGGTTGCAAGCCAACGCTCGCTGCTAACGCWCACTGAATAATGGCAGATACTTTAGACAGAGACTTCCTATTAATATTCACACAAGACAAGACCTGATCTAAATACCAGCACAGGATTGATCATTACAATATATTTTCTGCTGTCCAATTTTAAATGTCTTAAACAAAAGCAGTTCCGCTGCTTCCCCAGGGAGGCTCGTCTTCAAATGAAGGGATATTGCTCAAAAGTTTTACCCCAAAGTCCACATAATTCCATCTTATCACTGTTAGCACCAACCTGCCTGATTTCCCCAGCGCCAAAGTAATTCACACACTCAGTGATTTGCACACAGAGATTATTCACAGCACCCAGCCCTGGGCACCAGTGGAGCCAGTGATTTTTATGGGCTCCTTTTTTGGTACGTGCAAAGAGAAGCTCCTCTGTACACTAAAAGAACATCTCAGGCTCCATGGTTGGAGTCCCTGTGGAAAAGCCTCTGCTTTTCCACTCAGGACAGAAAGAGCTCTGCAAGACTAAGCAATTAGCCAGCTACAGAAGGTGCCTAAATTGGGGTGAAACAAAAACTTCCTAAGTATTGACAACACTTTTTCGAGATGCACTTCCTGGCCTCAAACCCGCACTGAGCCCATCACCTGTGTCGTTCCCTCACCTCATGCAAAGCAGCAGCAGGTAAACCCAGCAAAGCCACCCATCCTACCTTACATTAGCTCTTCCAYGAGCTCCAGGGGCGAGAGCTGCTTCCCAGCTAGCCAGGGGCCTCCTAGTAACGCAGGGCTGTGGCAGTGATGGGTTAATAGTCGTGTTAATGCTAAATCATTAGAGCTTTCTTCTCCTCTCATTGCACTGGAAAGTCAACCCTTTCATTCCCTTCATCATTTTTATGGCTCCTTCCAATTTGATGGCTGTTACCATCCCTAGCATCTGACTCACCTTACTACATTATGGTGTTTCCCAACTAATTGGCTACCCATGGATTAGTTTAGTTTCTCTCTGATGTACTAGCTTACATTCCTCCCAATCAAAAATCCATTCTGCAAAATTCTCGTTCCATGGTTTTAGGTTGTCTGGATGTCTTGGGACAATCTGCCTGTTCAAATCAGCCTTGAGAGAGTCACAGATAAGTAGCTCAAAACAAGAACAAGAAACCACAGGTAGTCTTGTTTCAGTAGGACTATGTTAATGGCTGACCCTCCTCAAATTTGATGCATTACAATTATCCTAATAAAAAATTTCAAGAGGACAAATGCTTTTTGGGTAGCTGAGCAACATAATTTAAGGGTCTTTACATTCAGAAAACCCTATTAATACTAAGGCCTTGTAAAGACACCTCCAGCCTAAGAGGAAAAAAGCCACACTGCTAGTAAAAACTAGCACACAACTCTATTAGACAGCCTTTTCACGTAGAGAAAGTTTTGGACTAGACTCTATACAGACAGATACACACAGAGGCTTTGAACCCCAAAGAAAACCAGTTAACACGTACACTGGTTTCATTAGCCACACCTTAAACTCCTTTTTAGATTAATCTAGCCTAGCATACAAATGCTTATCTCCCCCTGACTGTGGAGCTATCATAAAATTTTCAATTTCTCCAGCAGCCACATTCAATCACAGATTAGGTCGGGGGAAACCAAACCAGCCGGTGCGTTTACAGGGAACGTGCAGGCCCCGGACTGCAGCGCTACCTCGGAGTTCATTTCTTCCACAAGTTTATCTAAGTTTTACAGCATTTCTGCTATCAGGAAGGCTAAATGATTTGGCAGATTACAAGAGCAGCAAATAGCAAAGATTATGTAAAAGAGCAGGTGTTGTAAATCAGTCTATTTGACACTGTGGTTATATATGCAATAAAGTGAATGAACTATGCTAACAGAGTGCTATCTGATAAAGAGAATGCTCCTCGCARGTATTTAGTGTTTAATCTCACGATAATGGTTTGCCCCAGTTTGTCTAGGGAACATCAGACAGCATCTGGCTGGAGGCAACACAGTAGACCTGGAAAGGTCTGAAGCTCAGAAAGACAATTTTCTCACCGTTTATTTGTACCCGAATGTTTAAAGAGACGCAGTCAGGATGCTCACATCCTAAACCGCAACGTTCTCTAAAGCAGCATACATTCCTTGCATGATTGGAATAAATCCATATGTAAAACCAGGTTTCACTATTATTAGTAGTAGTATGACACTTTATGGAGGACACAAAGACAAGGCACTCAAAAGTCAGGCTATTTCATACACTAAAACTGGGCTGTCAAACTTGGCTTGCGAACACTRAACACTTTTAATGTAAATTAACAGCCCAGAGCACCCTTACACTGTCTACATTCCCCCAAGAGACAAAACATCCAGGTACCAGCACCTAAGTTACATATGGAAACTTATCACGTATAGACGTTCAACCAAACAACCCAAACGCTCTGTCGGCGCTACATGGTATTTTGTTGTCTGGATGGAAGGAAAATGAGGCAGGCAACTATTCCTTTAAGGATGATTCAGTCTCTCTCCACCTTTTTGCTATATTTGTCAGTATGTTAGAAAGTCAATGAGCACTCCCCAACAGATTGAAAAACAATCTCTTTTCTAAGTCTGCTTTTGACACTTCCCCCATATTTATATTTTTTTAATCTAACATTCATCAGCATGAAAGTCTGCATGTATCATCCTGGGAGAAGAAAACTTTTAAGTTCTACTCTACAAGCCTAGATTAGAGGTCCAGCTATATGGATAACTACACTTTGATGAAACTAATCTTATTCCATAATCTTCATGAATGCCATCAGCACAAAGAACTGGCATCCTGGGCCTGCCAAAGGGTTGAGATGAGAAGAGAGCAAACAGGCRAGTTCTGAAGCTTTTGTTTCACTAAAGAAACCTGATCTTTGTTGACCTTCATGTACAATACAGCTCAGTGGAGAAGAGCACGGAGATGCCCAAGCTATCTGAGAGCTGGGGAGCACGGGGATCAAACCACAGAGCTGTGGGAGTGCAGAACGGTGCCCTGGCTGGTTACACCCCTCCCGATCTGCTGCTTCTCCAGGCTTTAATCTGTGCCTGCAATTAGCAGTTGCTGAATATGTGACTCCTCAGCTACTAAGGTGTTTCGGTAAATTTGTAATAAACTTTCAGCATTAGCTCCTAATTAAATAGAGAAGTATCTAGTGGCGTTTATACGCTCTCAATGTGAAAGAGTTTTGCAGCCATCACTAAGGTAACAGGAAACATCATAAAGCATCATGATTCAGAACAGCTCATTAAATGCTCACATTTTAAAGAGGAAAATGGTACAAAACCCAGGTTCGCGCAGCGCCAAATCCTTCCTCCCACAGTATTTCTCTTTCATTGCCTGTACAGCAGAAATGCAACTCTCAGAACAGCTACAGGTGCACCTTACTTTGTATTATGTTCCCAACCTGAACAAGGAGAAATGCTCCTGCATTTCTATGACAAACACGCAAATGTGGCTGTTGCTCCGGGAACCATAAACCTCTTATTCCCAGGGTGCTTGCTGAGAAATCACCTCCAACCAGTTGGTTCTCTGTCAAATAAAGCCTGCTGGGCAATCAAGGTTCAGACATTCCTACAATGTACAGTATCTAAATGGCCTGGTTATGCAAAAATAATGCACAGAATTAATCACTGTGCAGGATAATAGCAAAACCAGCATTCTTGGAGGCAACCACAAAGCACCCCTACATCAGTTGGCTGAACAGTGATGCTTATTTATTTATTTATACGTTGGGGATATGTCATTGAATTTTTAATATTTGTCTATTTCCCATGGTAAAATATGTGATATTTCCTGTACACTGTTCAATTTTTAAACTACACTACAGCATTTTCATACTGCACAGTCATTTACCCAATAATATCATTTTCTCCTTCCTGGAAAAACAGCACAATCCCAAGCACATTTGATATTTGAAGGAGCAGGAATTTCCCCATGAGGCAAAATAGCCCAACTTATTGGAGTCATAAATACTCTGGCAGTTGAATATATGTATATTTCCTTAAACAAGCAGTGTCAGATATTATTTGATCACCATGCTCAGAGATATCTTTTCATTTACATGCTCTGAAAATTTATTCTTCAACCATAACTGCATACAAAACACACAGAAGGTCTGTTCTGCAAGGGATGGCATTTCAACAAAGCATCCTGGCAATACGGGCTTGGAGATTAGTAGCTGTGCAGGTTTACTTTATTTAACTGTATATACCACAGGAAATAAAAAGGTTTATTTTTATACTGCTGCTTATATTTTCAACATAAAGTTCAAAGTGATTTACTAATGTTACATGAATTGCCTTTGAATTACGCCACAGTATTGTGCCTAAGTACAAAGCCTAACACTATTTTGTATTCGCAA